TAATTATAATGAATCATTTAATAATTTTTAAAATGTTTTCTAAACGAAATTGACATATATATAATATAGCTTAACAAAGAAAACAAAACAAAAATGTTAACAATGTAGATTATTTGATTTTTTAGGCTTTTCTAAGTAGGGTATTTATTTATTTTAAAATGTCAGAATATAAGGCCTAAAATAAAATAGTTCAGAATATTAAAATATAGAATTAAAATGATTAAAATATAATAAAGTAAAGCATAGAGATCAAAATAAAAAATAACAGTGATTAAATTATAAATAAAAACAGTGACCAAAATAAAAGAAAATAAAAATATCACAACTAATTTTGAAATAAAAATTATAAATGAGTGATTAAAATAAAATTAATGAAACTAGAGCATCATATTCAAAATAATTAAAAAAATGAGGAAGGGGTGACTATTTCATAAAAAGGCGTATAAATGTTAGGGACCTAAGAAGGATTAATCCTAAAACTTCTTAATAAACACTTCAGCAAAACAATAAGGTAAATTATCATGATCAAACCCTATGATCCAGAATAAAATTCATAATAGTCCAAACTCAATGACAAAAACAAAAATATGTGGCTAAAATTGAGGGACTTAAATGAAATTAATACAAAAATAAATTAATATAACCTAAAACAATACCCCGTCTGTGTACTTCATCTCTTCTATTTCTCTCCCTCTTCATCCCACGAACGACGCTCACCATGGAGGCTCCACACCTCTCAATCGTCAGCCACGTTATTAACGGTAGACAACGGTAATAGTATCTCGTTATCGGCACTATTCACCGTTACCCGTTAGATTGCGGACACGTCGACCGATTTTGACGTGAATCCGCTGTCCACCGTTATTTTCCCGAATTTCGGTTTCGGACGGCGTACTACCGCGAAATAGCGGACGCTATTACATTTTCGTCCCTCTATTTTAAACCCTGGTTGAATGTACTGCATCATTTGTTCTCAACTATTACGGAATGGTTAGTTAGTTAGGAGAAGTTTGTTAGACAACTAGCTGGCTCATAAGAGTTGCTTGTATAAATATTGTCTGGTCTCATTTGAGATATTATTTTTAATAAAATGTGTGAGAGTATCGTCTCTCTTTCATTGATTCTCCCTTGTTAAGCTCTTCACTGTCTCTGTTCCCTATATCATAACAAACTCAACCCGAATAGCATGCAACTCCACCCGTAACCCAACCCGAATAATAATATATTTTAAGCACTAAAAGGTAAAACATTGATAAAGCGAATAGTAGACATTCAACTTAGGAATTTTAATACGGTGAAATCCATATGCAACAGAAACATCAACCATACGCAGCAGTAAAAATCAGTGTTGATTATAGAGTGTTACTGACTGTTGAGGAAGAAGAATTGGAGAAGAGTCTAATGGTGAACTGCTTATGAGCCAGTTAAATTAATATACTTTTAATTTACAATATAACGTCTAAAATAGATATTTTATCTTACTAAAAGTATTTTTCAACAGTAATACCAAACACTATATTAAACTTAAATTTTCAAAATCACTTTCTAACATTACTTTTCAAAATCAATTTTCAAAAACAATGTCAAACAAATACCCGGGTCGGTCGGCTGGGATAAAGTGTTTATAACCTTAAATGTGGTTCTATTTTTTATGCATAAAATTCGATCTGACCTGAACTTAAATTAAAAAAAACAACCCTATCACACTCATCAAGTACAGATTATTTGACCATCCTTAATTACAACCGAGTCTACAATAACTAGAGAACCAACAAAAATTAAACACTAAGAAGAAAGCGTTGATTGTGCAACGGAAGCGAAAGGACAACATACAAGATGGGTAGAAGATGTTATGATGCTTGGCTATATCATGGATCTGAAACCGTGGGATATAGGATAGAAAAGAATACACTAATTCTAAGGATCCATACACATAATAGGATTAATTATGGTACATAGGATTAATTATGGACCTAAGAGAAATTTTGTGTTGTGTTTAGTCTTTTATTTTTTGTATTTAAGATTTTGTATTTAAGATATATCTAGATAAAAATATATCTATCAACAATATAGATAATATAAATAAGGTGCACAGACAATCAATGGGATGGAAGATATAAAAATAAAAGAAAAATGAAAACTTTCGAATTACTTATTCAATTGTCTTTATGTATGAATTTATTTTAATTTTATATAAATTAGTTCTGTTACATAAAAGATTAAATTATTTTGGATACATGTAACATTAATTTTTAAAAATGCAGAAATATATATATATATATATATATTTTGATTAATCTGAGATAAGTAAAAAACAATATTTGTTCAAAGATAACTCTTAACTTCTTGACATTGAACGCTCACACCCCTAATTTCTATGGTGCTCAAACTCGGACCTCAAGAAATAACTACAATTTCTTTACTACATATGAAACTTGATTCGTGCATATTTATTTATATATGTTGATCGTATGCATGTGTATAAATTATAAAATATTCATGGGAGACATTTTTCCAGATATGAAGGAGATTTGATATAAAGATAAGGCAATGCTATGGCCTGTAATAATCCCATTGAAGAATGTTTCCTGGGTGGGTGATTTGTGTTGGTTCGGCTACCCTGTGCGTTTGGTAAAATGATTTTATTAAGGATAAATTACATAAGATATTACTGAAATTTAGATATTATATCGTTTATATCATTGAACTTTTAGTTTTACTAATTACAGCACTGAATTTTTTATTTTTTCAATTATAGCACACCGAACTTTGATTTTCATTTCAATTATGCCTTTGAACCGTTAAATCATTAACGACACGATGACATGGCTTATAATTGTCAACATGGCTGATGGCTGTCGACGTAGACACATCAACAAAATGACGTCGTTTTGATTTGACTGTTAATGATTTAACGACGTAATGGTATAATTGAAATGAAAACCAAATTTTAATGCTATAATTGGCAAAATTAAAAGTTCAATGGTATAAACGATACATCACCTAAGTTTGGTGGTATCTGGTGTAGTTTACCCTATTATTAATTTAGATTAAATTATTTTATATTTATATCTTTGAACTTATAAAACAGTTTCGGTGGTAAAAGAAAATATTGTTTTCTTTAACGGTTTCGGGTTGGATTAAGTGTATTTGCAAGGTGTATGTGTGCGTTATCAATAATTAAGAAAAATTCTTAACAAATACTATCTTGTAACCACTCCATACTATTCAAAAAAACATTCATATATTTAATTTTATGTTCAAATTAAATTATTTACATATACACAATTTATTCTAAAGAATAAAAATTAAGTCTATTAAGTGTTTAAATTAAACAAACTAATTAAATAAATTGAAAATATTAAGTTACTTATGTTTATTTACTAATTTGATTAAGTTGATTATTTATTTAATTATAATTATGTATACTTAGTCAACGAAATTAATCCTCATATTCTCATACACACACTAGTATAACATTTTTTTAATAGTCCGTGGTGATTATAAAATAATATTTGTTCATAATTTTACTTAGCTATCGAAAACATACACCCTGTAAACGTATATATTCGAATCCCAGACCTTAAGAAAGAATAATACTCCCTTAATTGTTCCAAAATTTGTAATCACATGTTATATAATAAGAATGCTATTCCAAAAATAATTTTGTGTTAAAGCTTATTAGTAATTCTTGTGCTAAACTCAAATTTTATTTTACTCTCCTTATTATTTAAATTAACATTTTAATTAATGTACATTAGGAATTAAGAATGTTATAGTCTAAAATATTAAATCCACCATTAATTGAATTGATATGTTAGGTTTAAATACTCATTAGATTTATTGATAGTATGTTATAGCCTAAAATATTAAATCCACCATTAATTGAATTGATATGTTGGGTTTAAATACTAATTAGATTTTATTGATCGTGACTATTTGTGGTGGATCCATGGAAGGATGAAGATGGCCCATCCTAAAATTTAAATTTTATTTAATTAATTATATATTTTATTGATAGTGTGCACTCTAAAATTTATTTGTGTCGACAACTATTAAAAGATATAAAATGGTCATTCAACTATTCATATGTTCTAAACTTATCCTTTTCTGTTAAAAAATTGACGGTCGTCTGAGCTGGACGTTAACCTACTGATTGGGATGTGATAAAACTATATTTTAACGATGTTTACTAAAACTACCATTGTTTTCCAACACTAACTCGATAATATAATATTTCAAGCATTGACTCGACAACATAATATAAACGAAGAGTCGATCCAAAAATACAACTTAAACGGTTTGGGGATCAAATTTTATCATATTTCAATCTACAAGTTAGTGTCCAATTCAGATGATCACCAATTTTTTTAATAGATTATGACGAATTTGGAACATATGAATAGTTGAATGATCATTTTATTTATAACTTTTAATACTCGGGAAACTCAACAAAATAATGTCCTATAGTCGAATGATTATTTTTTAACTTTTAATAGTCAGAAAACTCAACAAAATAATGTTCTATAACCGATGAATTATTTATATACTTTACCTTAAAATATAATACTAAATGATGGAGGCTTGGAATTATACGAAATGATAGCTTTTGAGAAGCCAAAAGACCACATAATATACATCAATACATATACAATACCGCAGATTGCAAAATTGCAATGTCATTATTGAGCAAGCAAATTCCAACTAGAAAAATATCCTATAAAATACATTACTACGATCAGCGATGGATCGACGGGTGCCGGATATATATATACTGCAGATTGCAAAATTACAATGTCACTGAGCAAGCAAATTCCAACTAGAAAAATATCCTAAAAAATATATTACTTCAATCAGAGATAGATTGACGAATATTGGGATGCGATCGAAACACTTAGAATTTTTAGATTAATTTATATTTTAGATTTTTTTTTATCTTTTTAATATAATTTCTTAATTTCATATCTTTTAACATAAAATTTTATGTTGTCCCATTATAACATCTAATAATTTTTTACAACTCATTTATTTTGTTGATGAACAAATTCATATTCTAAGAAGAAAAATGCTGAGCTCAGGGCCTCCATTGTTATCAGGGTTCAACATGTAAAACGCTTCCGAGTCGCGACTCCCCACCACTCGTTCAAACTCGGCCCTCATATACAACAACTCACCTTCACTCCCTCCATCCTCCGCCACCCGAATCACTCCGGCACCCACCGACACGCTTTGCACGGTGCTCAGCATCCGCCAATCCGACTCCGCCCACTTGCGCGTCGCCGCATACCCACTCTTCCTCCCGTTACAATACATAGTCCACAGTGGCTCATGGAACAGCCTCCCGCTTCTACCCGGAGCCTTCCCAGTACTCTCGAGCTTAATCCGGACCAACCCCGATGACATTTCCTTGACCAAAGTAGCCGTTGACATAGCCAGTTGGAGGAGCAAAACCGGTTCGGATCGGGGATCATCCTGGACGGAGAAGCTGACGTGACCACGACGGTGGCCAAAGAGAGTTCCGGTAACTTTACGACCGAGGGAAGGGGTTATAGAGAGGTGAGTTGGGAGGGTCAACCATTTGCAAGAGGCGGGGATGAAATTGGGGAAAGCTATGATCTTGAGAAGGGAACGAAGGAGAGAAGAGAAACGCTGAATGGAAGGTGGAGAAGATGAAGAGACAGGTGTAGGAACAAGGGATTTGTGAGAGAATTCATGGTTTTGAGGGACCGAGAATGAATTTGATCTGGGAAACTTGGATGGGTTGATCTTGTTTCTTGAAGAATTGCAGTTATAGGTGCTGCTTCTTGGAAGGATAGGCAGGTGTTGATGGTGTTTCATGGTGAATGAGGAAAGTTGAGAAGATTTTAATGGAAGAAAATGAGGTCTGGTTTGATTAAGGGGGGAGACACAAGTGGTGATGAGGGTGGGAAATGTAAAGGCAAACAATGGCTGCTCGTGGGCTGTGGTGATGATGATGATCCTTTTCCTTGCACGCTTAACCACACCCTATTTATACGCACAGACACGCAGTGTTTTCTTTTAGTTGAGTCCTCTTCTCCATGTAGAATATAAACTCAACAAATAAAATTAAAATGTCATATTTTCTTTTATCATCATTAAATTTAGACTTGATTTTTAGGATAAAGTATTCAAATAGTCCATCGATTATGGGTGATATTTTATTGAATCTCTAACTATTAAAAATTATAAAATAATTCTTTAATTATAGGTTGTTTTTTGAATTTAAAAGTAATAAAATGTCACCCTATTATTTAGTATGTTTCAAATCATCATTTTTCGTTAAAAATGGATGACAAACTGAGTTGGATGTTAACCTAACTATTAAGATATGATAAAATCAACACCCTATAATCAAAGATTATTTGTATATTTTACTCTTATTTTTAATTATTTCTTTCTTTCCGTATTAACATTGAATTTCCATCCCCAACCTCTTAACCCTCTCTCTCTCTCTCTTAACCATAATCACCATTACTGTTACTTTCCTTCCTTCCCACCAATGCTTACAACCTAAATCATTTTATCTTTAGTATATACGAAGTTATGGTTAAATATTGCAGACCATGTCTATTAGATTGCTTCATGGAATTCCTTTCTTTTTTTCTCTCTATGAAATTACTTATAAAGTGTGAGAATTAAGAATTGGCTATTTTTTTTTTTTTGTATTTTAAGATCAATGTTGATTACATCTCAGAATAAAAGTAAAATCAATTGATTTTTTCTGCAAAATTGATTACGATTTAACTTAATATGTATTGAAGATAACATGATTTAGGTTGCAAGCATGAGAAGGAGGGAATAAAAGTGACGGTGGCTATGAGTCTATAGTGATTGTAGTTAAGGAAGAGAGGAGGGAAGGAAGAGTTAAGAGGTTGAAGAAGAGATGGAAATTTAATATTGATATGAAAAGAGAGAAATGATTAAAATTTAAGCTTAAATTTAATGATATTAAGAAAAAATTACTAATACATTTTAATTTTATTGTTGAGTTCATACGTAATAAGAAAGGTTCATAAAATAATTTCTCCTTCGAGCAGCTCTATCGTCAATTCATCATCACCCTTCGCTTTCAATTCCTACTACTAATCTATTGATTATATTCTCCCATAACTATTAGAAATTATAATTATTTACATATATATAGTAAATACAATATAGAAGAGCAATTAAAATTTGAAAATATATTAATTGAGCGCTTAATTATTCCATACAACATAGTATTATCTTTTATACAATACTTAAAACTACTAAATTAAACATAATTAATCTAATTTAAATTCATTATTTGTCCAACGAGGTTGGTTCTAATGGAAGTAGCTTTATATCACTTAAGTATGTCTCGAGTTCAAGTCTTTATATATAGAAAATCCATGTTGACAAACTCACCAAAATCATATATGCAACCCGAATCGATTCGAATTATACTATTATTTTCATGTAACATCAATCAATCAATCACACACATTAGGTACGGGAAACATGAAATAAAGAGTGAGAAAACATGAAGTTTGTTTATATTCCCACTATCATATGAAGTGGTCTAATGCATATTCCATAGCTGGAGAGCCACAACATGTCTTCAATGGACATACTGTGCCACCATTGTAAGTAAATATGGGTAAATTATGCATTTATTACCTAAACTATCAGTTTTAATATGTTTTAATATCTAAACTTTCATTTTTTTTAAAATCATACCTAATGTTTAGTTTTTGTTTCATTTTAATACCTCACCGTTAAAAACTTAGCGGCACTGTTACGACTTGACACTTTTTATGGGTAAATTACATCATTCATCACTCAATTACCTTCTCACTCATATTTTGGTCATTGAAGTTTGATTTTTTAATTTAATTGCTTAACTTTGAAATTTTATTTTTTTTATTTTAAATAATAAAAAATATAATGTTACAGAATATTATTAATAAAATAAATTAGAATGATTAAAACATAAGTAATTTAAAAGTTGAGTAGTTAAATTAAAAATTTTTAAACTTTAATGACCAAAATAGGAGTGAGAAATAGTTAAGTGATGAAAAAAATGGACATATTTATATATTGTATAAGATTATAAAAAACTATTTAAATTGGAACCAATACCATAGCATCATAAATATTTATAATTTAATTTAAACATAAACTAAAACAAATGACTTGACTTGAATTTTTTAAACTAGACTTAAAAATTTTAAAATAAAATTTAAATTATATAATAAGATTTGTCATGTCGGCTAACTCGAAATTTAATTTTAACTGTTTGGAGATTGGATCCAAACAAATCACTGTGGGGCCACTTGACTCCCTGAGTCATTGCTAATAGCTTCACTCGTCCTCAATTTCCATTTTGCGCCCAACCTCTTATGACAATCTGATCAAAATTAACATAAACTCCCAAAATATAAAATTATCTAAATTTCATATAAACCGTATTTTTATCTTCTTTTTTATAAATTTATATTATTTTACTATATTGATATCACTTGATTAAGTGATACACAATAATATAAAAATTAGACTAATGATCAAACCAGTCAAATCACTCATTCACTCATTTTTATCCTAGTATTTTTAATATTATTTTACAATGATACGAATAAGACGATTTCAATGGTTAAAAATAATTGTTATCTCTAACGTTTTAAATTCAAAGCAATCATATGCAAGGGTATTTGAACATTATTATCAAATGATTGAGAGTCTTTGAATAAATAATATCTCTTGTAATCACTCTAGATTAATTAAAGAAAATATTTCATAATGATATGCACAATTTTCATTTTTACTTTATATGTTCAACTAATCAATTTTTATATTATTATTATTATTATTATTATATTATTATTATTATTATTATTATTATTATTATTATTATTATGAATGAAGAAATATGTCCATCATACATACCCAAGTCCAAGTGCAAGGAAGTGTTGGAATGACTTCTTTGTCGTCATCGTCATCGTTATCGTTATCGTCCCGTGAGCATAGTCAAAATAAAAAACAGGCTTTGAAGTATTGGGAGAGAAACTTATTTGAAGAGGATTGAGGTGTAGTAAATTTGAGCTCGTTTTTTGTTGCAACTCCTCAACCTTAGTATATATGTGTGTGTCATAGAGAAAATTGAATATTACAAACACTTATTTTAAGTTGTAATATAATAGTTAGTTTTCATGTGTACCTGTTTACGTAGACTCTCCTTCTCATGTAGAGCTTTCTGTTCCTGAAAAATAAATATATTATTAAAACCACTGGATCCTCGTATATATACATATATATTAATTAATCTAAAAAAGTACAAGGTAATATATGTATAAAGATAACTTTCAACCATTTGATATTGAACTTTCACACTCCTAATGCTTATGAAGCTCGAACAAAAAATCTAAAAAAATAACAATAATTCTTTTATCACTGAGATCACTTAGTTTGTGTGAATTTTCATATATATTAAATTAATGTAAAGTCCATAAAGTATAATTTACCTGTAGTTTAGCCCTTTTAAGCTGCTCCAGCAGAAGTTGCTCCCGGAACTCCCACACCTCCACTTCAACAGCTTTTTATTTCATTTTTATCAATTTTATTAACATGTATTATTTATTCTATATATATATATATATATTGAAAACATCATATATTTATTTTAAATATAATGGAAAAATTAATCTCCAATATTTGTATAGATGATTATTTTGAATTCTAATTCTTTATATAAGAGTATTTTAACCCTTAAGATTTTAAATTTTGGTCATAATAGTTCATGTTAATGAAAATCTTTAGTTAACTAACGATCAATACAAATTATTCTAATGACATTTTCACATATGTTTAATTGATAACATATCATGTCACCAAAATGATGACATGATAAGTAAAATGATAATATGACATTTGATATTTTATGTGAAGTGATGATGTAGCATTTATCATGTCACCCGAAGTGATGATGTTTTATGTTCCATATCACCTAAAGTAATGACATAATATGTTTTTTCACTCAAAATATTGACATGGTATGTTTTAAGTCACTTAAAGTGAATATAATATATGTCGCGTCATTAATTTATATATAAAAATATCACGTGAGTAAAATACTTTAATCGTTAATCAATTAACAATTTTTACTCGAAATTATTTTAAAGGGTATTAGGGTACCTTATGCTGTCTAACCGATAACATCCCTTCATTTAACTGATGCTCCAGTTGTTGCAGCTCCTTGAAACTCACACCCTCCAGCTCCTTACCATTCAACCTCCTGCAACTAATTCATTTACCAAATATTCTTTACTTCTCCAAATGCAAAATCGAAGAAGAAGAAGAAGAAGAAGAAGAAAGACACTTACATGTATGCAGAACGCAGCCTTAAATACTCCTCTTTCAGAGTGTTAATATCAATAGGTTTCGGATTCAGCTTAAGGTAAACAAATGCACAACAAAATAGCAGCATCAGAATCAATGCAAATCAAGCAAATTTAGTTCATCATTCACAATACCTCTGGTTTTTCTTTATCAGTAGACTCATCCACTGCTTTCCCTCTATTGTACCTTGAAACAGTGTCTTCCATGCTACATTAAAGAAAAAGAAAACCCCTTAAAGCATGTGTTATATATATATATATAAAGAATGGAGAAAATGAAAACGTGCTGGTGCTTGACCATTGATAAACTTTGCCGGTGCTGGAGAAAATAATGACACCAACTTCAGCATCGCACAAAATGGATAACTCTCTTGCTTTTTTAACAACCCATTTCTTCGTTTTGAGAATGTTATTTGCCTAGTGTTCAAATTCTCTATCTTTTTTATCTCAATCTTCCCTCTTCCCATTTTTTTCCTCGGGAAAAAATACAAATTTTCTGTTCTTTTTTCTCTTTCAAAGCAAACAGCAGTGATAATTAAGAATGTTGCAGAGAATTTTGAGATGAGAAAACTAGTGATGTTCAT